AGAAAAGTGCAGTGCAGCGCACTTGCGGTCTATCTGTTTTAAAATGTTTTAAAATGGGTCTTTGAACTCGTCAATCGGGTTCTGCGATGGGCACCGAGCTGGTGCACAAGGTGCAGGTAAATCGAACGAGCCCAGCAGCGTTCAGCTACGCTTTCCTATGTTACGTTGTGATACGGCGGACAGCCACCGCGGACATCCGTGCCGATGACTCGAAGGTTGTGACTCGACGTAAGCCCCCTTGGCGTATTCAAACGTATATAGGGGCGGATTTAAAGTAGAGGGGAGGAATCCCAGAGGTGACTTTTTTATGAAAGAAAAAAAAAAAAAAAACGACATAAAATTCTTTGTTTTTACAGAAAAATTAATAGACTGCAGTGCTTCTTTTAGAATTATGTCTATGTTAGTGTGTCGAATTTCCAACGTCATGCTTTCTTCTTGTTGTTTTTGTTTTGTTGAATGTTACTATTCTCCAATGTCATGCAGAAAAAAAAAAAAAACAAAAAAAAAAAAAAACATACAGCTTAGTATGGGCGTCTGTTTTGAGCTGTACACGGTCCATCTCAAAAGTTTCGTTCGCCTTTCTCAGAAACAAGAGCGCAAACGCAACGTAAAAAGAAAGAAATCCTGCGCGTTAACATTTTCGCGAAACACGCAGATGATTATCCTCACTTGGAACAGCAAAGACGAATGAATATCCCAGCGAATGAGGAAGCTCGGAATGCGCCGAGTAACTTGGGAAAGGAGGGGACAGGAGCGCGCGGGGGGCATCAGAACGTCGAGCTCTGGTTGGAAGGATTAGAGGGTAGACCTAAAGCTACATGCCTTTCTCTCCACTGCATTCGTCGAACGCGTTCGAATACGCAAGCCAAACGCCGGCGTTCCGCGTTCGGCAGCTAGCTTTAGGCCTACCCCCTAATTGTTCCAACCATGGCTCGGCGTTCTGACGTCTCCGCGGACTCTCTCCATTAATTTCTTGGCGCACACGATTCGACGTGAAAAACAAGATGTGCGCAGGGACAAACTCGCTGGAATTCATCCGTTAATAGCTGGTTGGGTTCTGCCGGAAAGATAACGTGTGGGTATATCTTTTTTTGTTTTGTTTTTTCAAAGCGCACGTCGTTTCAATAAAACGCACACTGCGCGACACCTGTTAGCGCGAACACGCGTCATTGACAAGCTTTCGCATTTTACCTCGCCCTGAGTATTGGTGGGCACGAAATTCTGCAACTTAGGTTGATGCACTGAGTGAGCACTTCCCGTCACACTAGTGACCTTGAAGACAGCCTTTAGCTTGTAAAAGAAAAAAAAGGCGTTAACAGTCACAAAACCCAATATATCCTTTCGCTGTTTGGGCTATGGAACAAGAAATTTACCTGGAAAGCTTGGAAACCTGAAATCCAGTCTGAAAACCTGAAATCCAGAGAGACTCCAATAAGATTTCTTGTTTGATAATCCAGATAGCGAAAAGCTGTATTGGTTTTTGAGATAGGGTGTCGTACAGTGTACTTCTCGCGCACAAATGTGCGCCAACAAGGTATTCTGCAGAGATTGCACGGTTACACCTCCTTCTCGTGCCCTTGCTTTGATAGCGATTAGCACGACCCTTGATATAAAAAAAATACTCCGAAGATCTACGCAATTTGGGTTGATGGGCGTCTACCAGCACTGCACACGAATTAACAGCTATATACTGACAGATCAAAATGGCACATCGTGTTCGCGCTTTTAGTTTCGTGATTCGTAAGAACACCGGAGAGCACTTAGGCGTTCTTATCGTCAGGTGCCACAGTAGCATTGACTGGAGGGCGGTAATAGAATCTGTCAATGACTGTATCGTATTTTCTCTGGACTGGATAAGCTGCGTTTAGGGCGCACAAAAGCAGTGCCGCTTCAGAGTGCAGACTAAATGCTTTTACACCCCAAAGGGTTTAAATTAGCTTGCCCCAAGGCTAACACCCTAAGGGTGTTACAGTAACACCCTTAAGGTTGGTGAACATTCTAAAAATAGGATGCCGTCAAGTTTAGCAGAGCTGCCTTGTTAAGATTGGCACATTTCTCAACTTAACAGGGTATACGCTCCGCTAAAAAGCCAGCATTCTATAGGGTTTTTATCACCATACTGGGGGTGTTGCTGTAACACCTAAGGACCACGCAATGAATAACCCACAAGGGAGGAATCACGACTCTGTTGAATGCTCCACCGCCTTATACTATACTCGACAATTCAAAGGCACTCATTCGCAGGTCACCGTATTCACAATTATAAAGGTTACAAGTACGGTTGCTCCTCTCTTTCAAGTGTTGCGTAATATATCCAAGTTTAAGGAGTGAATCTCCGAGTTAAAAGCATCGGTACGGGTAATAGCTTATTTGACATAATTTCTAAAACAACCGACGTTAAAGCGGCTGGAAGTAAGTGTCAGTGCGGCGAATACCCGTCAAAATGAAGGGCGTTCGCGACTTCAACGTATACCCTTTCTCACGCCATTTTTGCACCCCTCAAAGACGAAGGGTTTATTATGCAGCAGCAGTTTGTTTTACGATTAAAATGATGTATTAACCGAAATAAGGGCGCTGAAAGGGTGTAGCGCCATGGACGTAAGCTTCTGAAAACCAATTTTACACCCTGAAGGGTGTAAATGTTTTAGTGATTATTGTTCGAAATTGCCCACCGATCTGTTTGTGTCTGACAGGACAAAGGAAGGAATGTCGATTAGCAGCATGCCGATTAGCAGAGGGGTGCTTCCAAGGAGTAAAAAGGACATTTAACTATTTTTGTTATATGTTGTTCAGTTCCGTAAGAGTAACACGGGGTGCTTTCGCCGATTACAACAGGAAAGAAACAAAATGAAAACTTTTTACTTATTTTCAGTTCTATCATCAGCGCCGCTAAGCTTTGCATCAACTTTTACTACTATAAAACCCAAAGTTCCCTAGTCAGAAAAGATAAATAAAGGAAGGATCCAGCAGACGGGGGCTATAAACGGATCTTCGCCTTAGATACGACTCCGGCCCATATCAAAATTACACCCCGGTTACGGCCAAAGACCTTTCGAGTCGTCGGGTAAGCACACAGCAGAAGCTTATATTGAAATCCTGGAAGAAGATGGCGGTTGCTTTCGATTCATCGCACGTCCTCGCTGGACTCCAGAGCCGGGCAGCTGAAGACGGTAACACCGGCGGCACTTGGGGGCATCAAAAACGAAACATATTCCCAAGAGGTGATCGAGATAAGGGCCAGCGGTCAGCGAGTAAGGAGGATTTCATTCAACTTTCGATTCAAGTTGTAAAACAGAAAAAAAGAAAAACAAGAAAAACCAGCAGCAACCGGTATTGGAGAGTGGTCCTGCTGCGATGGCGGGAAAGCTGAATCCATTTACAACAGGCGGAGGAATGCGATTATAATGCAACGTACAGTTTTCTAGCAGTTGTTTCGAAACTCGACTGTCTTCTTTTATTTGCGTTTTAATGTAATGTTTCTTCTTGTTACTTTTACTTGAAAACTAACCTCGCTGTTGGTTCTTTCCTAGAAGTCCGGTGATTTATGGCTTCTTACTATTTTTTGTTTGCTGTTCCTTATTGATGAATGATTTCGTGAGATACCTAACCTGAGCTATATATATATATATATATATCTAAATCGCACGCACGCACATAATGCAAAAGCACACACGTAAGCGAAACTTGTTTTCAGACAGAGAATTCTTTTTCGAATTTTACGCATATGTAGCTCAGTAAACCAATATGTTCCCCACCAGTCTCGGGTTTCACCAGTCTCGGGTTTACAACTATGCTCATGTTCTTCTTGTCCGATGGCACGTTTTCTTTCGAATGATACGTTGATCCAGGGAAAATATCTTTCAAAATGAGTCAGTAATTGTCCTTTCAGTAACTGGAATATCTGATATGGGGCACCCATCGCCTTGTCGCTAAGATCAACATACAGAAAAGGCAATACGTGGTAGTTTTAATCATATATTAATAAGTTTCTCGAAGAACGACAACAGGGTCGACGCTCTAACAAAAGCAAATAAAAAAAGAACAAATAAAAGAAAACGAGATGAGAATCAGGCAGGAAAAGAAAGTGAGACGCACGCGCTGGCAATAAACTTAAGACGCTAAAAAAATAGGCATGACAATAAAAACAAGGGACAATCATTGTTCCGGAGGAAACGACGCATGCGTTTCCCCCGTCCAAGCAGACGACGGGGTCGGTTCTGAAGCAGACGACAGAAGCTGGTGGTCTCCTAGCAGACGACGCAGATAAAAGCGCGCGGCCAACCCGCGGCCGCCTGAAAAAAGACAATGCCCTCCACGCTCGTTTGGTGGCGGCTGCCGCCGCGTAACCTAGTGTTGCTCATGCGATCATTACTGCTACGAGCTAAATCATAAGCAAGACAATAAAAAAAAAAAAAAAAAAAACGCACACAAAGTTGCGCACAACAAAGCGCAACGACGGACGGAGGCACCCCCCTCCAAGGCCAGGAAATAAAAGATGAAAAGGAGAACCGAAAGCTTTTTCCGGTCGCGGAGAAAATCGTGACGGGGACCGGCGGAGAAAAAAAAAATAAAATAAAAAGAACGGCCTCAAGCAGGTTGGCTTTGGGTTGTCCGGCAACCGTGCGCGGCACTCAGACTTGCTGGGAGCTATATCGTGAACGGAGCAACTGTACTCTGTACAACGCCCGTCAGATGCATGCACGAACACGCATAAGAAAGGCAGTGGTGGAGCGGCTCTTTTGGCTGGGGGAGCTGCAATATTTCTAAAACACCAACATTTTTTTTTTTTGAGATTTGCGTCTAAGTATATTCACACCTTTTGATGCCCCCTTTTTTTTTTTCGCAATTTTTATACAAAAAGTTTTTACCAAAATACCTATGATTTTGTTTTACGTTGTCGGTATCACAGCTCTATTCACTGAAAAATGATTCGAAAGATCGATCACTTCCAAAGCACGGGTACTGCCGCTCCATCGACGCCATCCTCCTCACAATTGCAGGCGAGTCAGTGAGCGCCACCTTGCAGCGAGCGGCAGCACCACCGTACTCGGATGGAATATGGCGTATATCAACATAGCGGAATGGACGCCGGAGCACGTCGCCGACTGGTTACGAGGTAATTACCACTTTATTGTCCACAAACTAGCGCTGAGAACAAACATAAGGTACTGACCTACCTGCCGGTACACTTCGATTGGAGCAAATACCTCCCTGACACAAGCAAACAGCGTCGCACGTTGAGCTGTCGTTGGGCAGTTACCGCGGTGCTACTCCCAAGCGCAGGAATTTCAAGATGAGTCCGAGAACTGGTGGCGATACGTTATTTTCCCTTTTCGTCGCCGATCTGAATATTGCTGCCCCGTTTTCAGGGTGTCGGGGTGTAAAGCTGGTACCTAATGTCATCTTCGTGCGGCGATACTGCCGTATAGAAACGCCGCGATCGACCAATTCGGTATTTTGTTTTGTTCCTTTTTAACCTCTCGCTTGTCACGAGTCGCTCGGTGTATTCGCTTATTCAGGGCTTGCATGTTTCCGATTCGACGTTACAACGAGAAAAAGTACTATTCATCTTTAAAAAAAGTTTTTTTCTTGAGGGGGGGTCTTTTGCGCCCTGTTCTGGCGGCGCAAGAAAACGCTGACAGGGGTGGATCGTCATGAATAATGTCGAACCGACATAGTACACGAATCGGTTTTCGTGGCGGCGGAACCCTACACCACCCTTTGCCCGCTCACATCCGCTCTGATGCGCGAGAACTTGATGCTCTGTGAATATAAAACGATATTGATTTTTTTTTCTTTTCCCTGAGGCATCGTAGCGACCGCTTCATTTGCCTCATCGCGTGCTCGGCCTTCTTCTTAACGCGATTTTGGCGCAGAAATAAAGAGGGAAGAGGGGAGAAATTATAAATTTTCGGCTCTTAGCACGCAACGTTTGTAGCGGTAGTACCTACTGCAGTGTCTGCCGTTGTGCGTGTTGATCATCATCAGGTGGGGGACTGATGATTCAGGGCGATGATTCGAGTGGTTGCGGTGATTGCTCGACGAGTGTTTGCGGATCAATCGGGGGACTTTATGCCGCATTTGTAATCTGTCTCGCCGGTTCTGTCCCGTTGGGAGCGTACCGGTGTGCGAACGACCGATCTTGCGTAAGAGAATGCTGGTTTTTGTTTCGCAACGCTCTGGTTACTTTGTGTTTTCGTAGAGCTCTTCCGACTACTGCTATTCGTACGGAAGGTGAACAATTCTCACCCATCGGAAATATTTCTGTCTGCGCGAGAGCATGAAAATAATGCTGTTTTCGATTGTTCGGAGCTTTCTTTTTTAATTATTTTTTTGATGGTGTGGCAGTGATGATGTCTACGGTTCAATGGCTTGGCATCAGCTGTGCTGCATTACGTTTTCAAGTTTTGATTGATTATTGTTGTTTTTCCGTGCAATGCTTGTTGGTGCAACTACGAGCAAACAACTATGTACTGTGTTTTTGCAGTGTAGTATCCAAAATGATTTTAGAATGCATGTTTTATAATACAGCCTTTTTGTTGTGCAACATTTTCCTTATTCTACTAAAGCAACTGCTCCATGTGACAAACGTCGCGTCTCAGTTTGTAGGCTATAGAGTGTTTTTACTAACGTAATTTCATCTAGCGTTACTGTATATCTCCCGTAGGGAGCAGAGTAACGCAGAGCCGTGTATTGGGAGAGTTTGGCCATTCATTAGTTTGAATAGGGAAGCATTTCGTGGCCAACCACAGGCAGAGCCGTATATGGGGAGAGTTTGGCCAGTCTATGATTTTGCCGCCGTAACGCTCTCCTCCCAAGTGAGCCAATCAGCACGCGGCGTAGAGCGAGAGGCATGAGCGCATGCGCGCAAACTCCCGGCTGCTCCCACCTGAGTGGGGAGGGCCGCCATCTTCGATCATTCTCCCAGCGGAATGAGTAGGATCGGCATCTAAATCTCGATTATTGCCTTTTATATCGCTGGCTCTGGCAAGAAAATGACATTCTGTTATTCCTTGGTGGGTTAAAAAGCTAATAAATCAAGATTTTTCGGCGTATGGCCACAAACTTTTATTCATGCGAAAAAGAAGTCTGCCCCTAGCAGACGACGCGTAGCCTCAGCAGTGCTCTTCTCCAACCAGCCTCCGACAGCGTTGCTCAAATATGGCGGTCGTCTCCTCTCCGCTCCCTTCTTTCTCTCTCGCTCCTTCGGCGCTCTCCTCCCTTTCATTTCTTTTTCTCCTCTCCGGTGCCTTCGTCGCCACACCCACTGACCAAACACTCCCAATATACGGCTCTGACCACAGGCTGCCACAACAGCCCCTAGTGGTGGTCGTGAGCTCTAAAAATGCGACTCGACTAATTTAACCTGTTTTAGCGTCGCTAGAGTAAAAAGCTGTAACTCTTGGTGACTGGAAACTTGGCGCATCTGACGTTTTTGTTACGTCCATATTCAACGGTAGAATAAACGAATGTACGCTCCAAACCAGAGCAAATTGCATAGTTGCGATCGTTGCTGCTGATTTGCTATTGACGCCATTGTCTCGAGATGCCGAGATTGAATGCTTCTATTTCACGCTTTAAATGTTGTTTCCAATATTTTGATGTCGCGGTCTGCTGATAGGTCGATGCTGTGTCGCACTTTTAGTTTACGCTCTAACTGCGGGGAATATATTCGGCGCTGGTGGCGACCTTTGCTCCGCCCATTGGCCAAACCCCCCCCCAGTATACGGCTCTGGAGTAACGCCAACTGTAGCGCCCCCCTTCGGTGACTGCTGACGAATGCCAGAAGGGCTCCTACTCTTGCACGTTGGACGTATCTGGTATAGGAGAAAGCGGGGGCTTTGTTATATATAGGCTATTTATCTTGTGAAAACTGTTTTTGATATCATAGGTAAGCACTGTAAAAGCATTTGCATAACTGGTTATGGTCCGAGCGAGCGTAGAAATCTTGTTTTGAGCACAAATCACCTTACGGTAGCAGACGACACAGCAAGCTCTGTGGTGAGTAGGCGGCAATTCTGCGGTGCGACCGCCAACTTTTCGTGGTGTTTCTCCAGTTAGCCAGTGCAGTACGACTGTTAGCCTGGGGTTGCCGCTTAGAATGAATCTCTGACGTTGATGATTTATGAAACAATCATTCATTTTTCACCACACGCAATAGAAGTTGCAGAAAAAAATTAAAGAAAAATGAGCGGTGTTCACCCCCTCAACTCGCAGTCAGAAAAAGCGGTCATGTGATCTGGTGACGATTATATGCTGCCAATGTTAATCATTGCCACATGCTGGGGTTGGCAAAGCATATGACACGCACTGAGTTCCAGACATTGTTATGGTTTGGCTATTGTGGTCATTGCAGCGATTGGACATGGGCCACTACCCAAATGCTTGTCGAGCTATCGATTATCACGAGCCCAAATCGAGTGCTCACGCAGTGCTCGGGTCCAATCTGCGAGCCGCATTCAAATATCGTCACTAGGGGATACTGCGATCCCCCGTCTATGTCATCAAGTTTTGCGAAGGAGAGATTGAAAGAAAACGCTCGCTTTTGTTCTTGAAATGACACCGCAACAAAGCAGCTCTTTGGTCAGTGGCATTGTGTTCGAGTATACTTGGGTTCCACTAGTGTCGGTAAGGTCATGTAAAGTGAAAAACATTCCAAGTGAATCTCGTTGCATGGCCCCTTTAAGAAACAATTGATCCACAAGAAGTAACTGATCAACATCCTCTTGGGCTAACTTTGCTAGACACAAAGCTTTTACACAGTCCTCATGCCCTGCACTTTGTTGCCCCTGTAGACGTAAATGGCGCGGTGCGTCACCACTGACTCGTGCCATTAGGCGATATAATTAAGATTCTTGCATTTTCGGAGCTTTTTTTTTTTACAAAACTCGGAAGGTGTTTTTTTGGAGTTAATTTTTTTTTTCTTCCAAAATTCTTTGTTTTTCGGGGAATTCGTTTATGACACTCAAAATTCAGAGTTTTTAGGGGTGTTTAGCATTTCAGGGTGTTTAACTTCAAATAGGGTTGTGTTTGGGAGCAGCAATAGAGGACAGTGTAACTGCGGATACAGTTTCATTCAGTCAATATTTAGAGCATTTGGGGCAAAAACTAATGCTTGTTAGTTGAGAGTGCGCCAGTGTTTACGTCAACTTCTTGTCCTTGCCTATATTTTTGGTGCTTGTCTACGATCATGAACCGACTGGCCCAAATTGCCATGTTAATGCAACTGACTGAATCTCAAATTTCTATCGTCAACGAGGATGACAGGGGAATGTGTACGAGGTTCAGTCTGCAAAAAAACAGGTCACAGGAGGGCGAGGGAATGTCTTAGAAAGGAAGGCATCCGGGAGGAAGGCCCCCGACTGAACCGACTACGTATTCGACCTCGGTTTGGCAACCGTCATGAGGAAGACGCCTGCCTTTTCTAACAAGGGTTCAGAGGGGAAACAATAAAAAGTGGACGAAGAAAGTGTCTTTCGGTCCCGAAAGAAGTTTCTTTTTGCAACTGATGTTCTGAATTTTGAGTTTTTCAGATAAATTCGAATTTGAAATATTTTTACTGGCATGCGTTTTTTGAAATTTACCGGATTTATCCGAAAACGCAGAACCCGAGATATAATCTATAGTTGGTGTAAAGTTGAGAACCCATTGCTAGATGCTATGCCTCAAGCGTGAGCTTTGTGCCTTTGACAGCTCTTTGTCACACACTCATCCAAAGTCCAGCAGAAGGCGCCGAGCTTGTGCTGGATGCGGAGCGTTCTACTGGGATTTTGACCTCTCGCCAAATATAGGGTCCCCAAAAGGTTTTCTCACTCATGTCGAAAGACGCATTGAAGACTCAGTACATTGCGTAATTTGTAGCTCGCCAAAGCACTGTCTCTGCTTTTAAGCAATAGACCCTTTTACTGTTTACAAACATGAACCACTGCTTGCGTCCCAAGCAACTTCCAGTCGCTCCGTCTTTGCAGCCATGTCGAGCTTGCTTATGTCACCAGGGTCAGAAAGCATAGATGCTACACGGACGACAAAGTTGATCATGTAGCGAGTGCCTTCGGCTGTACGATTTAACTTCTTGGAGAGGACAAGTTGGTTTACGAGAATATTAGAAAAAGGTGA